CACACCACTCCGAATAGGGCGTGCCCACGCTCATGTTCGGCCCGACTTCCATTTACTGCCGATTTCGGGCCGGTGTATCTGGGCCTTTAGGGCTGTGGACTGATTTGACTTTTAAGTTCTGAATAAACGGCAATGATAATAGCACAATGTTGTCATGTTGTTGAAAGGGGAAATGCTTCGCCGTATGTCCATGTATTAAGAGTCGGTTTCCGTGTGCACAGAAAGGGCTGCTGTTAACATCGGTTTGTACAGCAGCACTGCGCTAAAACAGCTGATCACAACGTTCACCCCCCCGTGAGAACGTTGTGTGCACCCCTTTCCTTTATGTTCTAAGGCCACGTTTACACAGAGACGAAACTAGTTGTTTCACCATAGAGAGTATCCTGGCTGCTTCACGGCCTGGTACGGCAGCTGCACCGACCTCAATCGTAAGGCTTTACAGAAGGTGGTGAAAACTGCACAGAACATCAACAGGGCGGAGTTGCCATGTATGGAGGACCTTTACTCCCAGCGCCTGGGTAGATCTGCGGACGAAACGCTCTGGGTGGCCAAACGGCGCTGTGTGTACGTCCTATACGATCATTTCCTGATAACGATGACGCCATAGCCCCGCCTCTCCCCACCTCTGCTGCTCACTCCTGTGTCACCCGCGTCATTGCTGATGTGTTTCGCCAACAACAATGGCGGATCACAGGGTTGCTTTCGTGCTCCAGACGCTACTGACCATGCTACAGATGTTAGTGCAAAGTCTACAGCTCCTCTACAACAACCATCAGCAACAAGTGGACATAGAGAACTACATGAACTACATATTGCTAAATCCACCGCGGAGAATAAACAGAAGGGCAACCAGGCAACCATGCTCGGGGGGTCTTCTTCGCTGCTTTCGGTGTATTTTGTGGCGGAAGTACAGTGCCACTTACAGGTACTACAGCGTCTCCAGCGGATCGAGCGGCCTCTTTTGGACGGACACGTTTCTTGAGCCAATTCCGTGTGGACGGAATACTTTTTTGATAACGACATCGGTTCGTTTTCATCTCCGTGTAAACGTGGCCTAAAATACATATAACTTTTCATAACACAACAAAAGTAACTACAATGGTTCTGAATAGAAGGAGGAAAGAATGAACAAAGTGACAGAGAGGACTAGATATGTTTCTCTGAAAAAAATTCAAATCAGCATGAAAAGAGTATAACAAATGACTAATCCACCCAGGAAATATTATTCCTTATTATTTGGATTAAAACAAAAAGACAGATTAGTCAGCTAATCGTAACATGTATGTGCCTGCGGTTCAGATTTGACTTTTTTATGTTTGAATTATTAATTAATACCTAGTTCAGAATTCAGGTAGCTTACCACTAGCTCAGTGTAATTAACCCTTGTCCTTTACCACCGGGGGTAGAAACCACAACTGTACTGCATTCATACAAACTTTTTGGCATAAATGTAACAACACTTCCACACATATAATCTCTTGAATATGTAGTGAAATTATACTCACTGTATTTTCTTTGTGAAATTCTTTGTCACTATGCCTCCTTCTTCCTGCTTCTCTTCATGTTTTCCTGTTAGTAAAGAAAAAAACAATATCAGCAGATGGGACCCTGGGACAGTTTTTGTTCTTACTTTGTTCCCAGAATTTCTGCAGGCAGCTCGAACAGAAGATGTGGTTGCAGCTTAGAGTAACTTTAAATAACCTCAGATATGATTAAGCTCAGTATTGTGCAATAGTTTGAACATTTAATGGATCCTAAACAAGTTATCATCAGTTCAAAACCACATCATGTACATTTAATGGCTCTTTAATCCTCTAAATATAGCAAAAAGCTACAGAGTGGATTTATATTCAAAAGGTTATGGTGACACTGACATTAAAAAACACGTTGCATTTGGCACACACAGTTTCCCGTTGCTCAACCACAGCAGTGTTTTCACTTTGGTGCCTCTGGGAGGGTTGCAATGGGAACATGTTGAAATGATGAACCAAACTTTTCAGTCACTCCCAAGTATGATCCACCTGCAGAAAGACACTTGGGGCATGTTTTTCCGAAGTTGGGGAGACAAGCTAAGGCTGGAAATCTCCCCCTCCCTCCACCCTTTTCTTCCTGGCTCTGTTTATGGCCGCTCCATCTCTCGGGCTGGTTAGCAGCTGCTGTGGGGCTGCTAAATATCCCTGCTCCCGCCAACTGTGTAGCCTGCACCCCCCCGTCAGCCACAGTCTGCACTCCAGGCCTGACTATGTGCTACCCTATACCCCCACTGTGGCGTCTCCGCCTGCAGAAAGTGCTGGAAAGATCGAGGGGCTGGAATGAAACTCCAGATGAAACTATGCCTACATCACCGGTGAAGTCATAGCAGGATTATTTAAACTCCACCAACACTTAAAACTGGTCCCATTTCATGATTAACGGAGGTTTGGTCAGATAGTAATCCTACAGGGAGCTGCCTCTCCTTGTTAATAAGTCTCTTACGACAGAGATGCCAAATTCCAGATGCCCTATGTAATGCTCCTGAATATGAATGTTCCGACAGGAGAGATCTTAGCGTCATGTACAACGCACTAAAAGTTATTTTCTGTCTGTACAAGTGTCAAGGACAGGGCTGTGGTTTTCACATTTGCAGATGAAGCTGATACTTTGTGTCACAGAGGATTGCATATGCTGTGTGTCCTTTTGTACATGTAGCAAGCGCTAAATCCACAGAATCACTAATTGTACTTCGCTGGTTTTTATTTTGTTTTAAAGCTTCACTTATCCATATCTTTATAATAATAATGTGTCAAGGTGTTGCCCATGGTGAAGAACCCACAAAGACTAATCGTCAACTACTTTTTAGTGTCCTTCAAAAGAAACATATTGCTTTTTTAATGTCCAAACATTTGCTATTTTGATTCCTTCTCGTCTCACTTTTTTCTGTCGCCCGTGGCAGCTAATTCTTTTGGGAGGAAAAAATCTTATAAGACCACTGTTGTCTACTTGCCTTAAAACTGGCATACTCAAAACAATTCTCTGCAGTTGTCTCTGCAACAGTAAATGTCTCCAGGAGCACATTTTGCCAGTGAAAACAATAAAAAAATATAAAAATAGGCCATCAACATTGCTTTAAAAAGGACCAGTATGTGCGATTTAGTCGCATCTAAGGTTGAGGTTGCAGTTTCCAACCAACAAAAACAACCCTCCTTCATTTACAAGCATGTTAGGAGCTACGTCAACCTTCAGGTATAGTAAGTACGCAACAAGACCCTCTCTAAAGTTCAGTTTGTCTATTTTGGGCTACTGTAGAAACATGGTTGTGCACCCAGAAAGACTCCAAGAAGAGGACGTGCTCTAAATGTAGAGATGAAAGGCTAATTTTAAGCTAACAAAAACACACCCATTCAATAGCGTCCGGTGATTATACAATAATGTAGATGTATTTATGAATACATTTTTTATAATACAAGAGTAATGCTGGGATATTAAACAGGTTGGATAGATTGTAGTTCAGTCTGCTTCTGTTGCTCGAGAACAAGCACCATAAAAGCAACATTTGTGACATTAATATTGTAGTAACAACACAATTTTTAGGTTTTTTCAAACTTTCCTTGTATCTGTTAAGGTTAAATTCTGAAGGATAAGAATAATGTTAAAATCCTCAGTAAGATTATAATTAAACTGGTACTTCCAGTGACTGTCACCAGGCAGACAATTGCTCTTGGACCGCTGGGGTGGACTAAAAGCATCAGATGAGTACACTTAGTTCATCTGGAGGAGTCCGTGTTCAACATTTGCTCCTACAGCTCGTACACCTCCGACATGCTTTTATCAAACTCCCTGTTACACTTTTAGAATGGGGTTGAGTCACTGGGGCTGATTGAATAACTCAACTGGCATACCAACAATGTGTTTATAAAAAACTCAGAGTTGGGGGGCCTGCTGTCCTCTGTGCCCTCCTCAGCCCCGGGTATCCCTGGAATCCATCCTTCGTTTGAATCACCGACATGAGGAAGCAAATTCTGAAACCCTTACTTCTAACCCTTACTCCCATAATCAGTGGGAGTGAGCCTGAACATGACACCAGCAGAACAAGGACTGCTGGGTAAAATCCTATTTCCAGAACATTCTCTCTCTCTCTCTCTTGGCGTGTCTTATTGTAAACAGAGACTGTTGTCACGGGCCTTGCCTCAAATCTAAATCGAGCTCATGGGCGACTGAGGGAGTGATTCTCCAGGAATCTGAAACAGGTGTCCAAGTTTGAGAATCTGCCTGCCAACGTGCGAGTCCCAGTCCCCAAAATCTGTTCAGCTCGTCCACATCAAGACTCATTAAAGCTGAGCCCACCGAAGCTTTCATTGTGTGGCTTTAGATCTGTTTTCAAAGGTAAAGCGCACAGCCAGGTCAGAGTGAGGATCCTGAGAGATGCAATTCTGCCTTTTGATTGGGTTGTATTTCTGCTTTTTAATCAGCTAACATTTGTGTATGTGATTTGAGTGTGATTTTCATGTTCATATGGCTAACAGGATGGTAGTCTTAGCTGTATAAAAAAAACACTGGATTACCTGGGGAAGGTTTATAGATTATTTATAGACAGGCCAAATTCCCTCAAATTAAATCCCAGTACTCTGTGGGATAATAATAAACTACAGTCATATAGATATTGAGAGTTTAGCAACTTCTAAATTCACCGTTAATAAAACGGTGTGTAATTTATACCATTAGCAATACTGAGGGCATGACCTCAATGTCCTCAATGGCAGCTGAAGCCCTGCATTTTTTTTTCACAAGCAAATGATACTATTTGTCTAATTGTTTTGGTTTGTATTCGATTAGTTGTGTTTTTGTGTGCACCATGCCTGACATTAAACCTGTAACTTCCATTTTGATTATGTATAATCCACATTTTAAGAATATTTGCACACCATTTGTTGTGTTTAAATGTGCTCTAAGTATAAATTGCTATTTAGGGAAATTGGGAAGTTAATAGGAGGGTAATACATTTTTCTTCCCTTACAGGCCTTCTTCCCCAATGAACCTGCTTTTAAAGTAACGTATCCTCCTGAAAAAGTAGTTGTATTTACTTCAGGCCTGTGCAACAACTCACCTGACACTTCTACAAAACCGTCTCTCGTTTTGACGTTTAATTCCTCTGGTTTGAAGCTGTGGACGTTCACGCAAACTTTCCAGGGTTCGCCCCCGGTGGTGGTGGGGGAGCTCCGGGAGGAAGGCTCGCCGTACATACTGGTGTACAGCGTGGGGCCTCCCGTGGACTGGCGTGAGGGGAAACCTGTGCGTAAAGTGGTGCTGAAGGGCGAGGAACTGAGGCGCGTGCCGAGCCGGCCCGGCCGAGCCCAGCCCGGCCAGTCCATGGACAGATCTTCGGGGAAAGCGGGCATCCCAAAGTCATCCTCCATAAACCGAGATCCCAGTTGATCCCTGAACGGAGACTCTCCAAACGGATCCCTGGGAAACCTCTGCCGGTTTCCCATCGTGTAGAAGTCTCCCTCTGCCATGTTAGTCCAGCCGAGTTAAAAACCAGTTAAAGGTCTGCCAAAAAACACCGAATACAAACTTTTCTTTTAAGATAAAAACTAATAAAAACAACAATGTGTGGTAAACTGTATCGTTATTTGGGTTTTGCGCATCACCGTTACGCAACAAGTCACCAGATTCAACAACAAACTGTTAAAGTGTGCTCTGCCTCTCCTAAACTCCTCCTGGCTGTGGGTTTTATACTGGACGGTGATCACACAGACCATGAGTCGACACAGTGCAAATGTCGGGAAAGTGCTGGGAGGATCTGGAAAGCGGCAACACTGCAAAAAATATCCTGAAGAGAAGTTAAACCGAGTCTTTATATATTCAAAATAAAGATGATTTGGTCAAATTATAAGCATATTATACTTTAGATTAACTGTTCCAGCTGTTTGTAAGGGTAAATACAAGTGATTTAGTAATAGATTAGGTATAAATACTTACTGCTTTGGATATTTCTTGCAGTGCAGGCGCAACAGCTGACCAGAGAGCAGCCACCCCCTTCTCCAAATTAAGTTACTGTCCAGATGTCACTCAGACAGAGTTAGAGTTCCTCCTATTGGTGACTCACTTGCTTTTTAATAGAAGATAACACAGAGCTTCAGGTCAACACACTGATGTCACAGTACGGATAAAACAAAAACAGCTAAGAGAAGACAACTTTGTGAAGGAGGCTTGTGTTTACTGGGGGCAAATAAGTGTGATTTATAGGAGCATAACACATTTTATTCAGAACATGATTTTATAGAGCTTATTCTAAACACGCAGTGAAAGGGAAAGTTGATTTCCTGTGGACAATTCAATTTCCAGGTGTTATTACAGTGTGGAGTTCCCACTGACACAAGATAAAACGTGACAGTATACGAACAACATCATTTTGCAATACGCTCTTTCATATGGAAAACAAGGGGGTTATGCATAATTCAACACTGAAACACTGGATCACTCTGGCTATGACCTTGTTATTGGGATTTTTTTAAATAACATGACATGATCAGAAGCGTCTTTCTTTAGCACAGACACATCTAGAGTCCATAGACGGGAATATTGTCTTCTGTTCCTCGACCACTGCTCAATGTATACCAACAATTATAACATCTTTATACAACGTAGATGCATATTTACACCATAGTAATCACATAGGGGCCTATACAAAATTATCTTGCACGAGAACCGATTTCAAATACATTGTGAGATAGGGAGAGGGCCACGCTGGGGCCTGGGAGCCCATGTAGTTTACATCGCGACTGCACAAATCTTCCACCGGCACTTTGTCAACGCTGGTTGACACGAGTCGTCATCCCTTTATGGTTTATGGATGACTTTTGTGGCAAGTCCCTTCGTCTTCCAGCATCATAATTCCCTCATTCGTCCAATTTAGTTGACATTCAGGGAAATAAGCTGGGAGTATTGAGTGCATAGTGAGCAGTCTGTGAGGCCTGGAGCAGTTACACAGACACGATGATGGATTTGAAATAAGTCAGAATAATGAGTATCTTCATTATGTGCAAAGGCTGTCTCAAACTTCCTTTGTAGATTCAAACTCAGTGAAAGCAGCTTCAAAATGTACTTCAAAGAAATACCTTTTAACTTTTATAAAATAATTAGCTTTCTTGCCGAGTTAAATGTAATGCAAATATCAAGTGATGATGAGCCACCAGTTAGCTTAGCTTAGCATAAAGACTGGAAACAATGGGAAAATCATTAGGTCTTATGTCACAAGTTAAAAACTCTAGGAGGTTAAACAGGATGTATTTCCCTCTTTAATATCTATTTTTTAATTGCTTGAAAAAAATCTTTAACTGTGATTATCCAAGTTTCACGCAAAAAAAACAAAAACATTTTAAAATATAACTTTGAATGCATCATGATAACATTGGAATTCACATTCAGCCATTCTTTATTTTACTTAGTAGATTTGGCTGTTAGCTCTTTTTTTAGCCAAGCCAGACAGTGACCTTGGATCCCATGAAAGGCGCTATACTGTCCTTTACTTTATTTATTTTAAACCTTTCATGCTAACCTTTTATTTTTATTTTTTATATTACCATATTTTATTCAATATGCTCCTTAGATATATTTTTATTTTATTTGTTTTATTATTTTCTCCAGCTTTGTGAAGCACCTTGAGATGACGTTGTTTTTAAAGTGTGCTATTTAAATCAAATGTATTATTATTATTATTATTGTATACATTTAAGCTATTATTATTATTAGTGCTGCCCACCAGCGTCTAACAGCTAATTAGCTTAGCTCTCCTCCAGACCTTTCCAACAAGGATTAGTTGTTAAAAGTAGCATTAGCAGGAAAAAAAGGTGCATCCCTGTATAAACACACCTTGTCAAATGCACAGTTAAATTGGTGCGCTTCTCAGGCAGATCTTATCTTAGCTGTTTTTCCTTGGGCAGTCTCTATGCTATGCTAAGCTAAATTAGCCGGCTGCAGGCTGCAGACTAAAATGATAGTGGGATTAATCTTTTCATTACATTTTTGGCAAGAGAGCAATTAAATATGAAAACTTAAAACACAAAGTTAGAACTATTTCCTGCTATTTCAGTTTCTGCTCCTCAGTCTCTACAAGACTATTTTCTGCTTTGAGGTGTATGTTTGAGTAAAGTGGCAAAATCCACAATAATTTACAACCAACCAAAAATAAATTACAGCAGTGTCATAACTACAAATCGACAGTGTTGCATAGAAAGATTTGCCACTACTGGCAGGGCCAACAAACCAATAAATATGAAATAAGTAATAAATAACGGTGGTACTGCACAATACAAAAAACTTGACCTTCCTTTGTCATATAACTTAACATAAAAACAGTGTTGATTTATGTGTTTTGTTCCAGTGTTGTAACAAAAAAAACAATATTCAAGTAAATTGAGAATAAATGCCATCATAAGTTAATTATTATAGTCAAAAGGTTGCAACCACATGTGGTACAACTTCTCAATAAGTCCAATATATTCACCTTTAAAGTATTCATATTCTTTCAAAACAAATGCCTCCTCTGACACTTGAAGAATTGTTCAAAAATAAATCTGTGTTCCTGTTGCAGCACAATGTTTCAATCGCTCTCTGTGGTATTACATGGACTGACATTTCAATTGTGTTCCACTTGATCAGAGGATAAATTAATTTGACATTTGAGCTGACAGGCAGTTTGCTCGCCGTCAGGCCACCCTCACTGTGTCATTTTTCACAGGAAACGCGTTTGTTCTCCACCTTTTGAAGTGCAAAGATCAGAGCAATAAACCTTTCCTTATTTCCGACGACTATTCCTCTGAAACACTCAGATCAAACAGCTCCAAAGTTCACTTCTCTGCACAAAAACCTACAACATTCAGTATTGTGCCACCAAACAAATGTTTATCAAGTAAATTCAACCCTTGTTGGTACCTTCAGGCCTTAATATGCCCCGTTTTTAAAAATGAATATTAAACATTTTAAAGCATATATTTTTAAAGAATAACACAGTGCTTGAACATTAAAATAAAAAACAACATTGTGTGTTGACCAAATACATAAACACGGTTTCTGTGTTATGTGCAGTTTCCATTGTTAAGTATTTAATAGATAAACAGTCTCAGGCCATTGTGAGTGCTAATCCAGGAGGATGCAGTACTGGAACAAAACAAACGGACAAAAAGACATTCAGTCTCCTTCCTCAGTAAAAGACGTGGTGGGACCCCTGTGGGGACATTTCCACTTAAGTGTTGAAGCGCAGCACAGAGACGCACACAGTCAGTTAATCCAATCCAGTGTCCTCTCTGAAATAGAAACAAGAATGGTGCTTTGCTTCCTTAACTTGCTCTTAAAATCTTAATGCCTTGTTTTGTTGCGTTTGTGTAACGAACAGCGACTCCGACTCCGGCTGCGACTCCCAAAGACGGAGTTCCAGGATGAACTGCGGCTGTTGCTCCTGTAAGAGGAGTAACTGTGTCTCCGGCTCCGGCTCCTGCTCCTGCTGAGGCTGAGTATCGGACTGCGGCTGCGGCTGCGGGTGAAGAGGCTGCTCCAGGACGACACGCTGGTGGACCGACTGCTGGAAGAAGGACTGGGGCGGAAATAAGGGATGGGCCGCTTCCTGGCACTACGGAGAGACATAAAGGTAAGTGGTGTGAAACGGACAGAAAGGATTTAAGCAACAATGTGTAGATTTGATCACAGATTAAAGGGGCATTGACCATTGTTTTCATGAAAATAACGTGTCAAATTAGCTTTACAGAGCAGCAACCTCCGGGTATAAAAATTAAGCCAACTGCAGTTCCTCAAATTACTTCAAAAGCGAGTCAACCCCCATGTAAATTGGTCCTAAACCTTTTACCAGATAGTTGCTGCATATAGAAAACTTTATTTTAGCTGAAATTCAAAACCTCCTTTACAAGCATGTCGTGTTAGTAAAACCAAAAAGTCAGATGATAGACGCCAACATGCCCTGTAGAGCTGAGGAACTGCAAAGTCAGGTGACAATTCTTCACTATGAGCCACTATTTTTACACCTCTTGGCCTATAGGTAATATACAAAGCTGTTAACAGTAGATTGGTGGAGAAATAACTGTATAAAATACTTTAGTTTAATCATCCTGTGTCGTGCTTTTGTGCATATTTCTGGGTTTATATAATTTGTTGCACTCATACAGGACTATGAAATAAAGTGTGTGGCAGCCAAGATCTGTTAAAAATAAAGCAGTGATTATCACACTTGCTTGTTTTGTTTTTTTACTTCTCAGATTGCCTGTGTTCCACCATCTGCTGCTTTAGCACCTGCCATGGCTTTAGAACTGACACTTATCTCCTCCTCTGGCTAAATGCCATTTCAAGGTACACAACTCATCAACACGATTAGAACTATTTCAGTTCAGAGACGTGAGGGGGCGAAGGAGGGGACCTGCTGTAGATATTTGCTACCTTTAGGCATAACAATGTATATTGTATCTTTAAATAACCCGACTCGGAAAGCCTTACCTTGTGATCCGGCGTGCTTCCAGATGGCTCGGTGAGTCTCTTCTCCTCTTCTTCATAGGAGAGTAGGATTTGCGTCTTTGTCTATTCCCACTAACCTTTTGTGCATGCTTCACATTTGCATCTCTGGAGCTATGAGTTCTCTTTCTTTCTCGTAATCTGGGAAGCAGACATGACAATGAGAAACATGGGTAACCAACAATGTTTATGTTTATGTGTTCCTGTACACCCCGAATGAGGAGTCATTGGCAGCCGGGAGGTTTTGCAATGTTTACCTGTCAGCACTGTATCTGGAGTGGCTTCCTCTGGAGCTCAGGCTGGCCACGCTGCCTCGCCGCCTCAGATCAGCTGAATGACTCGGGGAGCGCGAGTATGAGCTGTCAAAGAAAAAAGGACAATTATCTCCTGGTATTGAGCATAGATGCAGAAGTAACGATTGCATAACCTAATTTCCTTTACTCCTGAAATTCAGCATCAAACGTTATTTTGCTATTTACAAAAGGCTGTTTCCCAAAGTAAGTCTATGGGATAAATCATTTTTAGGGTAAATGGTATCACATGATGACGTTGAAGTTAGAATTACACTGTTTGTTAAATTGGCTTTAAAGAATGGCACTGTTCCTGACGGATTGATAGCACACGCTCACAGTGACAATGCTAGTGTCATTTTAGTATGCTAACATAACATAATAGCACTTAACATAAATTACAAATTCTTGGTTTTGCAGGTAAAATATAGTATTGGATGGATTGATTATTTTTTACATACCTTCATTGAATAGTGTTAGTGAATAAAGGCATGAGCGTAGGAAATGACATGAAGCAAGCAGCCAGGACAGGCAAATCATTTACCCTGGAGCTCACTAGCTGCTCAGGACATGTGGTTAACCCCCTAACCTAAAGTTTTTTCAGTCATCCAGAGTAAATCTCCAACCCCAAATGTGAACCTCATGGTGTAATTACAGGAAGTCACTGAATCACCAAAGCCAAGAGTAAATGTCTGTGATGTATCTTTTGCCAATTAATCAGGTAGATGATGAGACATTTTCAGGATAAGCAACAACTTTGACCTGCAGGTGGCACTCGGAAAATGGATCACCAAAGCCATGAAGTTTAGTTTTTTTGGCAACACAGACACCCGTACAACATTTCATGGCAATTCATTTGAACAGTTGTTGAGATATTTCAGCCTGGACCTACTGTGGTCTCCTACACTTTCACTTTTTGATGTGCTAATTGAAGTACATACGAGTGGAAATGTACTTATTAACTTTGGAATTAGTGGATGATGGTCATTTACAACGAGTAGTTAACCCACCTGCATGATGACCGTGACAGGCTTCGGGAATAGCGTCCGGAATATCTGGAACTTGCTGAGGATCTGCTCCTACTCCTGCTGTTGGATAATCGGGCTTTCAGTCGCCGTCGAGACGACTTCCTCGCCCTTCGAGAGCAGTAGGAGGTCTTTGGAGACCTCACAACACCTACCCGGCACCCCAAGGTTATCTGCTCTCTGCGAAGAAAACAAGTTTCACTACTTTAAAAGACAAAAACCAAAACTGTATCTTGGGTTGTTTTTAATAAAAGCTCTTCCTTTTTCTGACTCGAGATATGAATATTTTTAAAATAGGGAAACAGAGTGTGAAGATCAACAACCTGCAGTTTTTCTGGTAAGTATTCATTCAGATGCTATATTTATTAAGAACTTTACCTCTTGCCGTTTCCACTGAAAAGCGTTGCAGACAAGCTGTCCTCTCTGTAAGGTTTGCACAGGGAAGCGTAGCTTGTCACAGAGTTTCCTGAATCAGAGGCATTGTCTCTGTCAGTGAACTTCAGCTTCTCTGGCAAGGCCAGGCGTTTACAGTTGTTCCTCTTGTTGTCAGTGACAATCGCCTGAAAAACACCAGTTTTGCTTGACGGAGGCGAAGACGTGTCATTCCCAGAATCGTAATCGTGTGGAGCTTTGGCCTGGCCCGTTAAATGCTGAGACTCTTTTCCGTGTAAAAGCTCGTTTCCAGGTTTTGGTGACAAAATCTGCAAACAGACAAATAAGCTGCAATTTAAAACCAAACGAGTTGATGAATGGAACCTGCTATCTGCTTTGATGCACTGTGAATACTCTACTACAAAGGCACATATTCCCCTTGAAAACAAAGAGAAAGGATTTTTTTTTTTATCAGGACAGAACATTTTAAAAGATAAAGACATCATGCAAATTTGAAGCATGCAATTAACCCCAAAAGAAAGTCTGAAATTAACTATAAACAAATAAATCAAAAAGAAACTAATTGAGATAAAGTAAGTCTAATCTAAAACAATTATATGAAAGGGACAACAAAAGAGCAGAGAAGAGAGAGAAACTATGCGTGGAAAGATCTACCGGTTCTAACTCGAGTGAAGAGAAAAAGAGTAAACAATAGCCCCCTTGAAAAGCCTCATTTAAGAACATTGAACAAACATCACAAAATGGGTATTATGTATAAATGAAAAGGATTTGCAGACAAAGAGAGATCCCATCATTCTAACTAAGAAAGCCCTCAGAATGGGACAGATGACTGCTCTTTCTCCTGTAAGAAGTAAATCATTTGCCTGCAGCGACCTACAAGTAAATCCCTAAATCTGCAGATAGCATCGACTTACCAATCAAGATTTCCTCCTTAAGTAGGTAAGGTGTAAGAAAAAGGGAAGAGCGGGCAACATAAGTGCATCATTAGAGTCGTCAATTGCAAGAAAAAGACAATAACCCTCTCTTCAAACCCAGAGCCAGTTAGACCTATATTGGTATATCCTTTTTCTCTCCTAAATGGTGCATTGTTATGGAGTTTTTCTGAGAGCGTACTTTTAAAGCACAACTGCACAAAGCAGCTATTAAAGTTTTTTACTGCGAATGTCCATGCACGGGAAAAATATAGTGTCTCTCCAAGGATCATAGCTGACTAATAAAAGGAAGATCTCTGTTTATTTATTGATAAGGAGTCACTCTTTTTTTATCTAGTCTGTCCTCCCGAAGGTGTTCCATTATCTAGTCTAAAGTCAATACAACAGAGGAACCCCTGAGGGAAATAAACACATCTTAGTTCCTCTACAATCCTGTCTTCCACTCGCATCGTTCTCACTAACAGAAAGACATTTTTTAAACAGAGACATCTTTTACCATCACCTGGAGATATTTGGATAAGTTGCCTTCAAATAAACATTTCAAATGGTTCTTGTGAGCTTTCAATTTTGCTTTTGTCTTTTTTATTCTCCCACCACAAAATCATTTCATTAGTTACATTTACAGGGTTAGAGGGTTTTCTGGGGGTTATTCTGTCCGGTCATACCTACCTGTCCCTTTCTGGATTGCTTTTTTGGGGAAAGAAATATTAAACAAAGATCATTCGGCATTGCTTTTGAAATTACATTTACCAAACCAAACCCCCAAAATAAATGCAAATACCACAGAGTTATTGCAATACAGTAAGGCGTCCCCTCAGCAACCAACTGTGAATTCCTCCTAAAAGACTTTGGGATATTGAATGCCAGGCATGATTCGATATATGGATTCATTTATTGCATTTCAATGAAAGCCCTGTGGTGTGTAATTATAAAAACATGATGTGCAATTAGCATCATTTAATGATTGCTGGTGAGAAATTAAATATATTTCACACTCCGTAAGCAAGGGAAAATGAGGTCAAGGTCAAAGCTGTACAGCCTTGATAAGACACTATGGGAGAACATCACATAAAAGAAAAAAAGATAATCAACCTGCAATAAACAGCACATTAGGAAAATGCTGTCGTCTGTGATTCACAGTTGAGTCGTGGATATATATATAAAACATATTTTGATGAATGTACAGTAAATCCTCAGTCCAGAAAGAAAGCTAGTAGTATTTAGACATCAAACACAAAATACTGTCTGTCTAAACCAGAAGTGTTTACCGGTAATTAGATAAAAATAAAAAAGTAAATAAAACTATGATTTTTTTACCTGATTTTTGTTGTTGCTTATTTTGGTCAAAAGTGGCAAGAAAATACTAATAATTCAAAAAATCAAGTGGTCATTTTGTGACTTATTTTCCTGCTTCAGCCCAGTCTCCTTTACAATTATTCTGACATGAATTAAGTAGTTATAATTGAATCCAATGCCAGCGCTGTGTGTGTGTGTGTGTGTGTGTGTGTGTGTGTGTGTGTGTGTGTGTGTGTGTGTGTGTGTGTGTGTGTGTGTG